CATCATACCTCTGACAACCCACTTATCAATCCTCGTCAATAGGATGATAAGTCCACAAAGTTGCTCCAATCGCAACACATTCCTGTCACGTTAACAATATACCTCTGACAACAATCCACTTATCAATCCTCGTCAATAGGATGATAAGTCCACAAAGTTGCTCTAAACGCAACACATTCCTGTCACGTTAACAATATACCTCTGACAACAATCCACTTATCAATCCTCGTCAATAGGATGATAAGTCCACAAAGTTGCTCCAATCGCAACACATTCCTGTCACGTTAACAATATACCTCTGACAACAATCCACTTATCAATCCTCGTCAATAGGATGATAAGTCCACAAAGTTGCTCTCATCGCAACAAATTCCTGTCATGTTAACATCATACCTCTGACAAAATCCACTTATCGACTCTCCCCAATAGAGCGATAAGTCCTCAAAGTTGCCCTGATCGCAACATCTTCCTGTCACGTTAATATCACACCTCTGACAAAATTCACTTATCAATCTTCTTCAATAGGATGATAAGTCCTCAAAGTTGCTCCGATCGCAACATTCTCTTGTCACGTTAATATCAAACACCTCTGACAAAATCAACTTATCGACTCTCGTCAATAGAGCGATAGGTCCTCAAAGTTGCTCCGATCGCAACACTTTTCACTTATCGACTCTCTTCAATAGAGCGATAGGTCCATAAAATACTGTTAGGTTAACATCACACCTCTAACAGTCAAACCCCCCAATGAACTTGTTAATCCTTTTTCAACAAGAATAGCAAGTTTTCATTATAAAATCCCCAGTGGATTAAAGATTTTCTGAAGTTATCCCAGTGATAATAAAGAAAATTTCTGAATTTCACTCTAAGTGAAAATTCATGCCAAGTTAATATTACACCTCTGGCGCTTCCAACTTTCTTTCAGTGTTTCAAGTAACACAGGAAGAAATAACGACAAAGTCTACGTATTCAACATCGTAGCACCAAAATCCATGCCTTTTACGCATGGGGGACTTTATCTCGATCCCTAATTAGAGATAAGCCTACGCCTAACACGCGTTGTCGGTTAGTCGTTTCCCGTGAAAATGACAAAGTCTATGTATTCAAAATCATAGCATCAAGTCTAAGAGGGTTCATTCTCTTAGCACAACGTTACATGTGGAACGGACTTAGACAATCCACATGCTAGCCCGACTCAAACGGTAGTCGGTAAAGGCTTATCAAATCCGTTGATGGCTGAGGGTTTGCCAAAAATCCTATGCACGTTTGCAGGTCCATCAGCTTAATGGATGTGAGCCGAGACTTAAAACAGATGAGCCAAAGACAAGTCTCAAAGACTTAGTCAAAAATGCACGGAAGCCACTTTCATGTCTTAAGTCAAAACGTTGAGGTCAGACCCGCGATGCAAAAACTGAACGCCGAGGTCACACCCGTGTTCCAAATTCAACATGCAAGGGTGAGACCCGCATCTCAAGTTCAAAATGCAGGGTCCACCCCCACATTCCAGAAGCAGGATTATGGCGCATACCTTCACACAGGTCCTGCGTGGAAAATCCCTTCAACCAAGCTGCCTTCGAAGCGAGTGCAGAGAACAACTCCTTTGTGACAAGGAATCAACAGCTCCAAGATCAGAGTTGAGATCCAAAGTATTCCGAAAATTCGTCCCAGTCAACCGCGAACTTTCGAAAACTTTGGAGGGGGTTCTGTAGGCTGTCTAAAAATCACAATAGATAGCTTATCCTCCATCAAACACTGATGATGGAAGTTACAATCTGACGACTTCCAGAAGGCTACAATTTGAAGACTTTCACGTAGATCGCTGAAGGTTACAATCTGACGACCTTCACGACAACTGATGAAAGCTCTAATCAACGGCCTTCACAATCAATATCGGGAGTTACAATCTGACGACTCTCATATTCTCAAGGAGCCAAGACGAAGATTACAAGACAATGATCTTTGCAACGCAATGACAAAGGCAAGACGCGGAGGTCCTCCCCGTGTATCAACAGTAAAACGCCAAGGTCGAAACCCGCGTTACAACATCAAAACGCTAGGGTCGGACCCGCGTTACAACAAGCTAAACGTGAGCGACCCTCACGTTCTGGATGTTCAGTCAACACCCAACCTCGCGTCTCAATCCTAAGACGTGAGGTTAGGGTCCTGAACGCCAACGTGGGCGTTTGACTCATTCAACATGAGTTGAACGGTTCTAAAACCGTTTCCCACGATTTGGGGGCGGTTACACCCCACTTAGGAGCGAAGTAAGGGGGCGGTTACACCCCTTAATTCCCTATAAATATGGGTAAACTCAACTGAGTTCAGGGTTCGATTTTCTTGGCTTGGATCGACCACTGGAGACAGGCTTTTGAGGAGATCGACATCATCTTCCAACGAAGATCATCTTCAACTTCAGCAACAGGGAGCC